CTCCCTTGTGGGCACCTAGCTCCCTCTGTGGGCACCTAGCTCCCTTGTGGCACCTAGCTCCCTTGTGGGCACCTAGCTCCCTCTGTGGGCACCTAGCTCCCTTGTGGGCACCTAGCTCCCTTGTGGGCACCTAGCTCCCTCTGTGGGCACCTAGCTCCCTTGTGGGCACCTAGCTCCCTTGTGGGCACCTAGCTCCCTTGTGGGCACCTAGCTCCCTCTGTGGGCACCTAGCTCCCTTGTGGGCACCTAGCTCCCTTGTGGGCACCTAGCTCCCTTGTGGGCACCTAGCTCCTTTGTGGGCACCTAGCTCCCTTGTGGGCACCTAGCTCCCTTGTGGGCACCTAGCTCCCTTGTGGGCACCTAGCTCCCTTGTGGGCACCTAGCTCCCTCTGTGGGCACCTAGCTCCCTTGTGGGCACCTAGCTCCCTCTGTGGGCACCTAGCTCCCTTGCAGTGCTCCCCTTTCTTTGTATTTGACTGGCTCCTCCTCCTTAGTTCCCCACTACTACCACTACTACTACCACTACCACTACTACTACTACTACCACTACTACTACTACTACCACTACTACTACCACTACTACTACCACTACTACTACCACTACTACTACTACTACCACTACTACTACTACTACCACTACTACTACCACTACTACTACCACTACTACTACCACTACTACTACTACCACCGCTACTACTACTACTACCACTACTACTACTACCACTACTACTACTACTACCACTACTACTACTACTACTACTACTACTACCACTACTACTACTACTACTACTACTACTACCACTACTACTACTACTACTACTACCACTACTACTACTACCACTACTACTACTACTACTACCACTACTACTACTACTACTACCACTACTACTACTACTACTACCACTACTACTACTACTACTACCACTACTACTACTACCACTACTACTACTACTACCACTACTACTACTACTACTACTACTACTACTACTATTACCACTACTACTACTACTACTACTACTACTACTACTACCACTACTACTACTACTACTACTACTACTACTACTATTACCACTACTACTACTACTACTACTACTACTACTACCACTACTACTACTACTACTACTACTACTACTACTACTACTACTACTACTACTACTATTACTACTACCACCACCACCTCCTCCTGCCTATATATAGCCGTCCTGCTCCACTTCTGGTTAGTGTGACTTTTTAAATGGTCCAAGTCGGACCGAAACGTCGTCGTAAAGCTTCTCTCTTCTATGTGCGGGTTATTTGTGTATAATAAGGTTAGGTAAGTTTTCTAAGGTTCTTTTGGTACAAAATTATTAATTTCCACATTAACGAAAAAATTATATTTTAAATGTGTAAGAGAAAATTTTACAAAGAACTTAATTTTAAATGAGTCCTTGCTAATTGACCAATTTTACACACACACACACACACACACACACACACACACACACACACACACACACACACAGTATCACAGTGGGCGCCTATGACGAGCGGGGTCCCACAGGGGTCAGTTCTAGGACCAGTGCTATTTTTGATATATGTGAACGACATGATGGAAGGAATAGACTCTGAAGTGTCCCTATTCGCAGATGATGTGAAGTTGATGAGAAGAATTAAATCGGATGAGGATGAGGCAGGACTTCAAAGAGACCTGGACAGGCTGGACACGTGCTCCAGAAACTGGCTTCTCGAATTCAACCCTGCCAAATGCAAAGTCATGAAGATTGGGGAGGGGGCAAAGAAGACCGCAGACAGAGTATAGACTAGGTGGACATAGACTACTGACCTCACTCAGGGAGAAAGACCTTGGGGTGACCATAACACCGAGCACGTCACCTGAGGCACACATCAACCAGATAACTGCTGCAGCATATGGGCGCCTGGCAAACCTGAGAATAGCGTTCCGATACCTTAATAAGGAATCGTTCAAGACACTGTACACTGTGTATGTTAGGCCCATATCTTAATAAGGAATCGTTCAAGACACTGTACACTGTGTATGTTAGGCCCATACTGGAGTATGCAGCACCAGTCTGGAACCCACATCTGGTCAAGCACGTCAAGAAGTTAGAGAAAGTACAAAGGTTTGCAACAAGGCTAGTTTCAGAGCTCAGGGGAATGTCGTACGAGGAAAGGTTGAGGGAAATCGGACTGACGACACTGGAGGACAGAAGGGTCAGGGGAGACATAATAACGACATACAAGATATTGCGGGGAATAGACAAGGTAGACAGAGAAAGGATGTTCCAGAGAGGGGACACAGGGACAAGGGGTCACAACTGGAAGCTGAAGACTCAGACGAGTCACAGGGACGTTAGGAAGTATTTCTTCAGTCATAGAGTCGTCAGGAAGTGGAATAGCCTAGCAAGTGAAGTAGTGGAGGCAGGAACCATACATAGTTTTAAGAAGAGGTATGACAAAGCTCAGGAAGCAGAGAGGGAGAGGACCTAGTATCGATCAGTGAAGAGGCGGGGCCAGGAGCTGAGTCTCGACCCCCTGCAACCACAATTAGGTGAGTACAATTAGGTTAGTACACACACACACACACACACATACACACACACACATACACACACACACATACACACACACACATACACACACACACATATATATATATATATATATATATATATATATATATATATATATATATATATATATATATATATATATATATATATATATATATATATATATATATATATATATATAATATGCAAAACAACCACTCTGAAAGAATAGAGAAATTCCAAGCGCTTTCGTGACTACTCACATTATCAAGGAACTATGAAAAGTGAAGCATCCAAGGAAGCTATATAAGGGGTCGGCCAGCACCTCACTATCAGATCCCACAACGGTGGGGTGCTGGCCGACCCCTTATATAGCTTCCTTGGATGCTTCACTTTCATAGTTCCTTGATAATGTGAGTAGTCACGAAAGCGCTTGGAATTTCTCTATTCTTTCAGAGTGGTTGTTTTGCATATTTTGAAATCACCTGTTTACTGTGATCTTATTGCATATATATAATATATATATATATATCCACAGCAGGACTCGAACCTGCAAACTCTTCATCAGAGTACACAATACTTTATCCACAACGCCAGACTCCTGATAAGTAACCTTACTGGCGAAGAGGAAGACCTTAGGTGACCTTACTAACAGGGGGAACTAGGGTGACCTTACTGACCAACAGGAAGAACTGAGGTGACCTCTTGACTTATTATATACAGCAGGTAAAGCAGGTGATGTATTGGGTGACACACGGCTACAGTACAATACAATACAACACAATACAGGACAATACAATACATTACAAGGCAATACATGACAATACAACACAAGACACTACTAAATATAACACTGATGCACTAAATCGTAACAAAATACATCGCTGTTCAACACTTCTTCTTCCTCTTATTTTTCTTCATTTTCTTCTTTCTCTTTTTATTGTGATTATTATTATTAATTATCATGGAGAAGCATTTAACCCGTAAGGGCCACACAGCACCTGAGAGAGAGAGAGGTGAGGCAATCAGGCTCGATCCAAGGGAGGAGAGGTCCAGATGTTATGTTCACTGTTATATCATTGATGTATGTACGCTTTTATATCACTGTTGAATGTTCACTGTTGTACGTTCACTGTTATGTCACTGTTGCGTATTCACTTTCATATCACCGTTGTATGATCACTGTTAAATCACTGTAAATGCACATACAGATTAGCGTACCTAAATTCCTAAGCATTTCCACACACACACGGATCACAACACCTCAAATTTCTTCTCAGCACTCACTATATTTGCTAATTTTCCCGTACAAACATGTACAAACATGTACAAACATGTACAGCTCTAGAAACAGCCTTCATTCCTTATACTCGTGTACTCATATACATACATACATACACACACACACATATATATTATATATATATATTTTATATATATATATATATATATATATATATATATATATATATATATATATGTATATATATGTATGTATATATATATATATATATATATATTATATATATATATATATATATATATATATATATATATTATATATATATATATATATATATATATATATATATAGTTCCTTGACAATGTGAGTAGTCACGAAAGCGCTTGGAATTTCTCTATTCTTTCAGAGTGATTGTTTTGCATATATATATATATATATTATATATATATATATATATATATATATATATATATATATATATATTATATATATATATATATATATATATATATATATATGTCGTGCCGAATAGGCAGAACTTGCCATCTTGGCTTAAATAGCAACGCTCATCTTGCCATATAGGACAAGTGAAAATTTGTGTATGCAATAATTTCGCCAAAATCATTCTGAACCTAACGAAAAAAATATATTTCACTGTGTTTGTTTAGTATTAAATTATTGTAAACAAATCTAAAATATATTTAGTTGGGATAGGCTAAAATAAATTTTTCTTGTTATAATAAGGTTAGGTAAGTTTCCTAAGATTCTTTTGGTGCAAAATTATAAATTTTTACATCAACATTAATGAAAAAAATATATCTTTAAACGTATAAGAGAAAATTTTAGAAAGGACCTAATTTTAAATGAGTTCTTGCTAATTGACCAGTTTTACATATTCGGCACGACATATATATATATATATATATATATATATATATATATATATATATATATATATATATATATATATATATATATAGCATAGGGATATTTACTAATGGTTCATAAGAGTGAATGTAGGATTGTTGGAACAAGTCAATAAGTTAATAGCATGTACAGTACAAAAAATATTGTGTTCAACAGTATTATAACCATTTATAATAATAATAATAATAATAATAATAATTATTATTATTATTATTATGAGAGATAAGGAGATACTACTGATGAGTCGAAAGTTAGTATGGGAAGCGCCAACATGTACTCACCTATGAGGCCCGCCAACCACAGCTGCCGCAACAACATGATCACCTGTACCGGGAGAGAGATAACCCCAGGATTAGTAACACAGTTTCAGATACGCAGTTTTATGAAGAGGTATGACAGAGTCCATGAGGCCAGGAAGGCAGAGGGGGCCATGTGTAGAGAGTCGACCCCCTACTGCAACAACCAGGGGAGTACAACTCAGAAAGTGGACACACACACACACACACACACACACACACACACACACACACACACACACACACACACACACACACACACACACACACACACACACACACATGACACAGCAAGATAAACTAAGTACTTAATTTGCAGTTATATATATTTTTTGTAGAGAAAGCATTCTATAATTTAAATATCTATGTATTCATTTTGACATGTACTAAATAATCTAGATTCACGCAATTTTGAAATGCCTCTAGACTATCTAGCACTCATATCTAACCTTAGTAAGTTCTTTATTGTGTGTGTGTGTGTGTGTGTGTGTGTGTGTGTGTGTGTGTGTGTGTGTGTGTGTGTGTGTGTGTGTGTGTGTGTGTGTGTGTGTGTACTCACCTAGTTATACTCACCTAGTTGAGGTTGCAGGGGTCGAGTCCAAGCTCCTGGCCCCGCCTCGTCACTGGTCGCTACTAGGTCACTCTCCCAGAACCGTGAGCTTTTTCATACCTCTGCTTAAAGCTATGTATAGATCTTGCCTCCACTAAATCGCTTCCCAAACTATTCCACTTCCTGACTACTCTGTGGCTGAAGAAATACTTCCTAACATCCCTGTGATTCATCTGTGTCTTCAGCTTCCAATTGTGTCCCCTTGTTGCTGTGTCCAATCTCTGGAACATCCTGTCTTTGTCCACCTTGTCAATTCCTCTCTGTATTTTGTATGTCGTTATCATGTCCCCCCCCTATCTCTCCTGTCCTCCAGTGTCGTCAGGTCGATTTCCCTTAACCTCTCCTCGTAGGACATACCTCTTAGCTCAGGAACTAGTCTTGTTGCAAACCTTTGCACTTTCTCTAGTTTCTTTACGTGCTTGGCTAGGTGTGGGTTCCAAACTGGTGCCGCATACTTCAATATGGGCCTAACGTACACGGTGTACAGGGTCCTGAACGATTCCTTATTAAGATGTCGGAATGCTGTTCTTAGGTTTGCTAGGCGCCCATATGCTGCAGCAGTTATTTGGTTGATGTGCGCTTCAGGAGATGTGCCTGGTGTTATACTCACCCCAAGATCTTTTTCCTTGAGTGAGGTTTGTAGTCTCTGGCCCCCTAGATTGTACTCCGTCTGCGGTCTTCTTTGCCCTTCCCCAATCTTCATGACTTTGCACTTGGTGGCGTTGAACTCCAGGAGCCAATTGCTGGACCAGGTCTGCACCCTGTCCAGATCCCTTTGTAGTTCTGCCTGGTCTTCGATCGAATGAATTCTTCTCATCAACTTCACGTCATCTGCAAACAGGGACACTTCGGTGTCTATTCCTTCCGTCATTTCGTTCACAATACCAGAAACAGCACTGGTCCTAGGACTGACCCCTGTGGGACCCCGCTGGTCACAGGTGCCCACTCTGACACCTCGCCACGTACCATGACTCGCTGCTGTCTTCCTGACAAGTATTCCCTGATCCAATGTAGTGCCTTCCCTGTTATCCCTGCTTGGTCCTCCAGTTTTTGCACAAATCTCTTGTGTGGAACTGAGTCAAACGCCTTCTTGCAGTCCAAGAAAATGTATGTATGTATGTATGTATGTGTGTGTGTGTGTGTGTGTGTGTGTGTGTGTGTGTGTGTGTGTGTGTGTGTGTGTGTGTGTGTGTGTGTGTGTGTCAATATCGGCGTCACCAGGTTGCCACCTACAACTGCCAGAGGGTGTTTGGAGATATATACGCCTCGCCTTGCGCGGTATTCGAACCGTGGACCCCTCGGTTGCACTCATGTGTGGAGGGACAGAGCCTTGACTGTAGCGGGTTGTGGTGGCACTGTACTGTGAGGGGGTGAGGCCAACAGGTCTGGTATGTAGTGGCCGCTAAGCCCCGTTGACCTCGTAGCAGTCAAATGACAGTTAAAGGGACAGTATATCCGCATTCTCCTCGGATCAACGAGTCGGGCACCGCTAAATCTGCTCGCAAACACACACATACGCACTGTGTACTTTGCATGTAGTATTTTACCATATTTATCAGCAAGTGTCAGCGTGCAATAGCGATTGCAGCTGCAACTGCTGCTGTGGTTCGCACTGGAACCAGTACTTTCACAACCATCTAACTCATACATGTGGAGAAATTTTCTCCAGGAGGGGGGTATCAGCCCCCTTCAGCCCCTTCAGCCTCTTTCAGCCCTAAGGGGCCCAGACCTCTCAGAAGGGGCAAGCGTCTTGTTTACTGCTACAGTGAGTAATTGATCACAGATGCCGTACGAGTATACGACCTGTGGTCAACCGACCATTGCTCCGTGCAGTCCAGTGTTGCAGAGTGTATTTTAATAAGAGACAGTACATCTCTTACTTTAGCAGGACAATTAAGGAAAATCCTGCTCCCACTTTATTACCATAGTAAAGATAGTGGACATTGTTGTCTATGCTTAAGACAGCAAGAAACAAACATTCTGCTTTACTTCATCGAGGAAGTGGCAAGGAAGCAAAAGTACTAGGTCAGCATTTTTTTGTGCAAGGGGAGTGACGGCGTGGGACGCTGTGGAGTCTTCAGATTACTTTTGACTCTACTGAGAGTGACACTGACGCCAGGATAACCAACAAAGAACACTGATCTGTGCGTTAGTGTGAACAAAGTGTCTCACAAAACACAATAAACACTTAAGAGAAGTGTGATCAGCTTCTCTTGTGATAAGATTGTGAACAATAAAGACAAATCTTGTGGAACATAGTGTACCAGTGTGCGTTTCCTAGCCTATGGAAGACGTGGACATCCAAGGACACTTCAGCTTCTATCAAGTCACCGATACCTGTCGAAGGTGTGAAGAACACCATAGCTCACGTTACAAGAGCAAGGTATGTTACGAATTTCTTGTAGAACGGGGGACTGCGCAGTTCTTGAGTCGCAAGGAGTTTGTAATCAACCTATAGTCGGCAGTAAGGTGTGGACTTCTGAGTCCAAACAAGTATGTATTTTGCCAGCCATCAGTGAATGAAATATGCTGACATAACACCCCCTAGGGGTAATTTATAATCTTACAAATTATAAATCTTTACAGCCCGTTGTGAGATGGTTTCGACAGCTTCTAGACGCACTGGAACCAGTACTTTCACAACCATCTAACTCATACACATGAAATTGTTATAATCATAACAGGTAAGCCAGCAGAAGGCCCCAGTCAGATAACCAAGAGTTCCAGCTGCGGGTCATCCCATGGCTAGAACCCGCATCAGGAAACATTTGTCCTGTTTCCTGACAAATCTAACCTAACACACACACACCATCACCAACATGAGTCGTGTTTGCCCTTAATTTTTCCCGTAAATATATCTCCTACGCCCCTTTTCCTTCGCGCCTTCCCCCATCTCCTTCCTTCTCCCTCTTCCCCTCCCTCTCCCCCATAGGACCAAGGCACCAGAAAGCAGGTCATCCCTGACCTGCCAACGTCAGATTTTCCCTGACGAATGCGTTATCAACAGGTACAATAATATCAACATTAAGAAAACTACAACACGAGCATCTACAACAACCATTGCAATAAAGGAATCATCAGAACAACAGATGCAACAACCAATGCATGCAGTTGGAATAGCATCTGCAGCAACAACTATTGGCGCAAGAGCCGGACCAGGTCAAGTAGGTCACCCACGCATACGATGTAGAGCCGGTGCCTAGAGCAACCAGACCGGAGTGAGGTCATCAGCTGCCCTAGTGACAAGAGAGAGGAAAATGTGACCTTTCGGTTCGTCTAGGTCGAAGGTCACGACACAGATGCCTCAGTTCATTTACGACGTGCTGGACCCACCGTTCGACCATTCATGAAGACTCCTCATTCCCTTCCGTCTCGCCCATAATTAACGTCCCCGAGTCTTATTTACGTAAAAATAATGTGTCTCACTCACTTGCCACAATAAATAAAATAACTGAAAACATTACGAACGGTTATTACTCTGACTATATTTAATACACTGAAACATCATACACATTGCTGCATTGACCAGATGACACTCTGCAATGTTGCACCAACTTGTCCCACTCTTCTGATAACACCTTGCAATGCAGCTGTTATACTGGCTAGATTAACAGTTTGAAACATCAGTCACATTTGTCATGCTGACATCCTGCAGTGATGGTTCTTTTGACAGCAGTGAAATGTAAGGAAAAATGAAGTTCTGTTGGGAGCGAATGAGGACAACATTGGTCAACGTCATGAACCAGGGATGACCTCTCTGGTTCTGGGAGGACTTCTCTTGTTTTGAGATGACTTCTGTGGTTCTGTGATGGTTCTCTGGTCCTGGGATGATCTTCCTGGTTCTGGGAAGTCCTCTCTGGTGCTGGGATGACCTCCCTGGTCCTGGGGTGACCTCCCTGGTTCTGGGATGACCTCTCTAGTCCTAGGATGACCTCCCTGGTTCTGGGATGATCTCTCTAGTCCTGGGATGATATCTCTAGTCCTGGGATGACCTCTCTGGTCCTGGTATGACTTCTCTGGTCCTGGGATGACCTCCCTGGTCCTGGGATGACCTCTCTGATCCTGGGATGCCCTCTCTAGCCCTGGGATGACCTCTCTGGTCCTGGGATGACCTCTATGGCTCTGTGATGACTCTGGTTCTGAGATGACCTCTCTGGTTCTGGGATGCCCTCTCTGGTGCTGGGATGACCTCCCTGGTCCTGGGATGACCTCCCTGGTTCTGGGATGACCTCTCTGGTCCGAGGATGACCTCCCTGGTTCTGGGATGACTCTTTGGTCCTGGGATGATTTCTCTGGTCCTGGGATGACCTCTCTAGTCCTGGGATGACTTCTCTGGTCCTGGGATGACCTCTCTGGTCCAGGGATGACCTCTCTGGTCCTGAGATGACCTCTCTGGTCCTGGGATGACCTGTCTGGTC